AAATTTCCTAGCATAGGCCTATAAGTGTTTCCAGGGCTTCATCAATGAATGTTTCAGCAACCTCATGGTAGTAAGTTAATTTTTGGTGGTATTAGAAATTACATTAATAGACCAGCTTTTATTATCTTTACACCCCTTGGCTAAATTTATACATGAATTTGCTGAACCCTATTGAAATCCACACTTCATAGGCTAGCTCATTTTCCGCTGTTGTCTTTTTCTCTAAACCCTTACCTAGTCCACTATATTTCGGCAGCATAAAAAAATTTTCAGCAACTTCGACATGCTATTCCACCTCTTCTCTGGGCCTTTGCATATGCTGTTTCCTCAGGAACAATCCTGCCTCCTCATTCTCTTGATTTATTCCTGTCCACTCTTAATATTTCAACTCACCCATTGTTTACCTCCAGGTCTCCCCTTACCACAAACGGGTTAGTTGCTCTACTTGGATAATAGTATTCTCTTTTTCGCTATTCATAATATACTATGAGTTTTGGTTCACTTATCTCTGTCTTCTGTTAGATGTATCCTCCTTGGAGATAAGGGTTCATGGCTTTTGTCACCTTAGCATAGATATTGATTGAATGAATACATACTAGTCTGTTTGAAGTTGTTAACTTCAGATCTCACTGTAGCAAGGTCTAGGGAAAGAGCATGGAAAGTGTTATGAAATGCTATCTTCTGTTTCCTTTCAATGGAAAAGATTCTTCGTGAAAGGGCTTATGCAAAATATACTAACAGTTGCTTTAATCCCAAGCTAGAATGGAGGCAGTCTATGATAAAAGAAATGTCTGTTACTTGCTCTCAATTGTGATGTTTCTTTTGCTACTGCTGCTTTAATTGCTGCCGTTTCAGAATTTTGAAGACCGCACTGAACAGGTTCTATGCTCACATAAATGGTTGGCTCTTAGGATAGCTGGATCTTCTTAGTTCCTAGTGCTACCATGAGAATCACTTATACTTTAATTGCATTTTGATTTTTCTGTTAGCAAAAGAAGTGACTTCAAGCTTATATTCTGCCATATGACTTTTTTACAATACATTATCTTCATAGTTTATTAA